CCCCATTCCCTGTGCTCTGGCCCCTCCTGCTTTTGCTGCAAGGTGCTGTGCTCCCTGCCTCCTCTTCCTCTCGACCCTTCTTCTCCTCGCCTTCCTCTCCTTCCCCGCCCCTCCCCCTGCCGCCTTCCCTCCCAAGGGGCCCCCCAGGCCCTCAAGGTCCCTGCTTCCCCCAACCCCCAGTCTGCTGAGCAGGGTTTCTGATGGGCCCCCACCTTCCTGCGCTCCAGGACTGGTGGGGAGAAAGAGGCCAGCCCAGGGCCCTGGCATTCAGAGGAGGGCACCAGCTCAACACATTTCAAGGGGCCGCTTGCTGCGCTTACTCTTGTGGCTGCTGCCCGCTGAAGGGTGGGGGCGTGGGCCAGGGCGCTCGGGAACGGGCAGCCCTGGCAACCCCTGCGTCCTCTCCCTCTGTGCAAATGAATGCAAGTTCCAAGCACCTGGAACGAGGAACATGAGAGCAGGCGAGGAGGAAGAGGAGAGCCCTGTGGCCGGTCCCACAGACCTGGAGAGCGTCACAAGCCGCCCCTGCCGGCGCGGGCTCAGGTGGCCCCTCGGCCCCCGATGGCCGCCACGTCTCAGATCCCGTCCAGGCACGTCCTGTGCTTGCCCCCGCGCAACGTGACCCTTCTTCAGGAGAGGGTAAGGAGTCTGCGCACCCATCCCTGTATCCCCTCCTCTGCTGCGCCCGGGGCCAGTTCCCTGGGGACACCCTGCCTCGGCCTCACCTCGGGCTCTTCCTTCTTTAGGCAAACAAGTTGGTGAAATACCTGATGATCAAGGACTACAAGAAGATCCCCATCAAGCGCTCAGGTAGGCAGCCTGTGCCCTGGGCCAGCCCCGATGCTGGCCACCCCTCACTCGAGTGCCCTCCCCCCGCTGGCAGGCCTGGGCTGGGGCTGCCTTGCACGGGGGTCCTCCCTGCACTGCCTCGGCAGAGTTGCCTGTGGGGGAGCAGCCCGGGCGCCTGCTGAGCCCGGCTGCTCTCTCCAACTCTGCCCTGCTGCAGACATGATGAAGGACGTCATCCGAGAATATGACGAGCACTTCCCCGAGATCATCGAGCGAGCCACCTACACTCTGGAGAAGGTGGGTCGGGCCTGGGAGCAGCTCCGGGACTTCAGAGCGCTGGCTGGCTCGGCCTGCCACACTGCCGGGCCCGTTGTAGTGATGCGACTACTGGAGGGACCTGTGGCCTCTGCTCCTGCCGGATTGCCTTGCATGGCAGGAAAACACGTGCCCCCTGCCCGGGCACCTCTCCCTGCTGCTCTCCCAGTGTCTCCCTGCCTCGTGAGGGGTGGGGGCTCCCCCGGGGCAGGCCCTGCCTGTCCTCTCTTCCCCCGACCCCACCTGCCCAGTGCTGCCCCTTGCCAAGGAAAAGCCCTACCTGGGCCTGAGCTGGCTGCCTACAGGGTGCCTGGCCTGGGGCTTCCATGTCACGCCCTGCTGCCTTCCCCTCGTAGAAGTTTGGGATCCACTTGAAGGAAATCGACAAGGAGGAGCACCTGTACATCCTCATATGCACGCGGGACTCTTCAGCTCGCCTCCTGGGAAAGTAAGAGAGAGACAAGGGGGCCCCTCCCCGCCTGCCCGTGTCCCCTGGGAGACATGGGACCCAGGTTCAGGTCCGCAGCCTAGCCCTCACGCACAGTCCTTGGTGCCCGGTGACTGCTGGGTCCAAGAGCAACAGCCTCCTGGGGTGCTGTGTTGGGGTACGGAGTGGCGGGAGTGGGCACACGCCCTGTACCGGCCCTGGGAGCTTAGAGGAAAGGGGCGGGAGTCTTCCTCCCCCACTCTGGCCCTGGCCGAGCGGAGCCTCCTGGAAGGGGCTCTTGTTGCTGAGAACGGTCCCAGCTCTAGGGAGGACAGGCGAGGCTTGCAGGTGTTTCTGCGCAGTGCCCTCTGCCGTGCGTCTGTTCCTTCCTCTGCGCGTCCTCCGCAGAGCCCAGGGGGTGAGTGGTCCTGCTCCAGTCTCAGGTGCAGGTGTGTCCCGTGGGAGCTGAGGTGGTGGGCCCTGAGAACAGCCGGGGAGAGTCTGCTGGAACCAGGACAGCTCGGGAGCCGGCTTGCGATCCCGGGGGCGTGTGGCCTGCGGACAGGATCCCTGTGTCTTTGCCCTCAGGACCAAGGACACCCCCAGGCTGAGTCTGCTCTTGGTGATCCTGGGCGTCATCTTCATGAACGGCAACCGCGCCAGCGAGGGTGAGTGGGCGGCCCTGCCGCCGGGAGGCTGGCCCTCGGTGCCCTCCTGGCACGCCAAAGCCTTTTCCTCGTCTCCCCTCACAGCTGTTCTCTGGGAGGCGCTCCGCAAGATGGGACTGCGCCCCGGGTACGATTGGCCTCTCGGCTCCTGCCCCCCTGTGCTGAATTCCTCCAGAAGAGATCCTGGGATTGCAATACCTGGTGGTCTGGTGCAGGG